CAGTTTTTATCAATCATTAATATGATATTGAGGAGAAGCAGTTAATAAAAAAAGAATTCATGTTGAATTTTAGTGAAATAAAGGTCAGCACAGTAACATCAGTAAACTATTTTTTGTTTATTTTCCCACATAAATCAGATTAATTCAACGTAGTTTCTCTCCATATTTCTCCCCTGGTCATCCACGACCTCCCTGCCGTGGCTCTCTGCCTCCCTCTGTCTTAAACTGAGATTTAAGGATAGCATGAAGAAACCCCCCCTCCTTCATTTGAAACCAGCTGTCAAGCATCAAACTCTGCACAGTGAAACCTAAAGTGAAATAATACTGGACTTAAAATGACTGTTGTGATATAGTACAGAGGAAGCCACAGCAAACTAAACATAAATATCATATAACGCTTCCTAAAAAAACCTGATCATTTATGCAACAAAATTCTGATTCTGTATCATTCGTGAGTGCTGTGCTGCCTCTAACCACTAGAGAGTGGTGTGGGCCAGTCACTTGTTTTGACCTTGCTTTCAGAGGTGGGGAGACAGGACTTTTTCTTTTTCCTCTTTAGTGAGGGTGAGAGTGGGGGGGGCTGTAACATATTCACACCACTATGGGTGAAGCGAGGGTTCCAGTTGTGATTTGCATGCTGCACGACTTTGTTGCACTCGTGTCACTACATGAAACAAGTATTTGCATTGCATTTTGCATAATAACAGCACACTCCTTGTTACATATTACACACGTAATCATTCGTGATTGCCTCATGCCTTTTGAGTGACCTATGAGCATTTGTAATAGAAGCATAAAGTACATTTCTAATCCTTTTTTCTGATTCTGATCTGACTTGAATGCAGCAGTATAGTACTGTACTGCATGTTAGCTCAATGCTGGGACAGGGCCTGCTAAGTTTCACTAGTAGCTCTTGAATGAAAAACACTTCCTCTGCCTCACTCATGCACACATACTGAAATGAAAATATCTGCTGCTGCTGTTACCTGCAGACAAACACAAGTGTGCTCTAACATGTGACATGCAGGGCTTGTTGGTGAAAAAGTCAAACCTTTACAAAACCCACACTCCATTTCGGGGCGAGTGAAGAGGAAGCCACAGCAAGCTAAACATAAATGTCAGACAATGCTCACAACAGTGACAGTTTTTTCTATTTCCTCCTTATTGGCAAAAGCGTGACTTGCACTGCCAGAGTTCAGTTGTTGTGATATTGTCTGTACAGTTAGGTGCATATAACTGTCCTTCACCCTGTGTTGGTCTCTAGTTTTACGTTAATTTATGTCATAGTTGGCATGTAGCACTTATTTCCTTAAGAAAACATCAGTGTAGGGTTGATAGTGTGCTCTTCTTTGTGAACCCTTATCATTAATGGTGTCACTGTAATATTCTTGTAATACCCAACAGTGCGTCGTGGCAGGCTTCACGATGAGTTTGTGGTTACATAATCAGACTGATTATTTCCTATATTATCACCACAGTAGTGCAATAAGATGATACTATACTGTTACTATACTTATATATCAAGCAAAAGGGGGCAGTTTTGTGGATCTATTTGTCTACTTGCCCCTACTTATCACTGTATATGTATACATGTTATGAGCAGCAGTCCAACCAGTATGTGATTCCTCCTTCTTGAGTAGTTTATTTTGAATAATTTGAAGATGATCCTGAATTCACAAGAACAAAAATGAAAGATTAGAAGAAAATCTGATAAAAAACTACAAATGATATGTTGTTTTATCTTTTGTAGATGTACTCATGCACCAGAGTGACCCCTGTCCGTTATATTATTGTAAATTATATAAGATTTATTAATCCCAAAGGAACTGATGGCACATTATGGTTCATTGTTAAACAAAGCAGGATAGTTTATATTTTATAAGATCATCATATGTTAAAATCTTAATCTGCAAAGTAAAAAGTATAATAGTTGCCTCTGAATCTTAGAGGAGTGAAAGTTTAGACTACTATATAATAAAATCACTCATTTATAAGTTCAAGTACTTCAAAATTATACTTGAATAAACACTCTTTCTTCCACTGGTTTATGACATGAGTGGTATTACTACTTTTACTTAGTGGTGTATTTAGACTCTATATAAATACTCCATTACAAGTAAAAGTCCTTGATTGATAATAAGTATAACAAATAAAAGTATTATTGCACTCGTTATACTATTACTATTAGATTATTTTTGACTGATGCATTAATGTGATATTTTACTGTTGTAGTTTTAACTATTTTATATCCCGTTGGGTAGTTTAATTTCTAATAATGCATCATAAGATCATTCATATGTTTTATATGTAAAATATAAATCTACAAATGATAAATGTGGTGATTTTACTCTGTAATTGTTGTGGAGTGGAAATATAAAGTAGCATGACGTAAAAATACTCAAGTAAAAAGCAAGAACCTTAAAATTGTACTTAATGAAGTACATGTACTTAGTTAGATCCCACCTCTGCTTTACTGTATATAAAGTACATTAAGGACATTTGTATTTGTACTGTACTTCAGTGATTGTATGATATGGGTAAAAAGGGCCAACGCTATTTATAAAGTAGTTAAATTTGCTTTAAAAACATGGCAATGCAACAACAATATTAATCAAATATGTATAATAATTCAGTATAAACTTATGAAAGGGGCCTGAGTACTTTTACTTTTGTTACTTAAGTTGATTTAATTGCTTATATCTTTGTACTTTTACTCTACTTGTATTTTTAAATTGTGATATTACTGCTTCAACTTGAGTATTTCCTCCACCTTGTACTACAGTAGTAGTTTGTGATGTAGTGCAGTGGTTACCAACCTGGGGGTCGGGACCCTCACTATAGGGTCACCAAAGCTTCACCGCGGGGTCATGAGGCCTTCTTGATTTTAAGGGGTGTAAGAAAACTTTAAAACTATATACACAGTAGGCCTATACCTCAGCATTTGACTCATTTCTGTAAAGTACAGTGCGGGAAAACACACAAAAAAAGATATTCACAATTATAAAAAAATACATAACACAGACAGAGAATTGTGTAAAAAGGTCCCTGAAAGGGGAAATAATCTGCTCAGAATTGATCCAAATCAGCTCGTTTTACACAAACTTCTTGTGCCCCAGTTACTGGAGTCACGTGTTTGGGTGTCATTGTACAGGGTTTTTAACGCTGATACATATGAAATATCCATAAAATAGTCAGTCACATTGACAGAAAAGGGGTCCCTTTAAGGTGAAACAAGGGGGGTGGGGAACCTCTGGGATGTAAGTGTGGTTAAGGCCTACAGAGGGGGTGGTGTACAAGGGCCAGTGCAGCACACACACACCACACACAAACACGAGCACACAAACACACAACCACAACACACCATACACACACAGTAAATGGGTTGCCAGTTTTGGTCAAACCACCTCCAAGACAGGGAAGCCAAGGAAGGAAAGAGAACCCAGCAGAGGGCGGAGGTGTCCGGGGGGTTTTCTAACCCCTTAAGTTAAGCAGAATAGTTACAGGGTTTAACATGAATGTTACAGGTAACTGGGAGTACATGTATTAGTTCATCCCAACCACTGGTTTTTGTACTGTACATTAGAAAATTTGGCAAAGTGCTCACGCTTTTTTTACTTCAGAAAAGCGAGTAATACATAGTATATTTTTATATAATTAATGGCTTTTAAACATTGCCTATTCAATGATGAGTGTGACTTTTTTAAAAAAGGGATTATAAATTGGGTTAAAAGCTTTTAAAACATGGGCAATGCAAGCGACCAGTGGACAAAGCCGCAAATATACAGTATTTATTTTTAATTTTAATTACTTATAATTCGCTTTGTACTTTTACTTGAAAAATTGCTATATCTCTGATATAGAACATGTTTTAGGAGAGAAATATGGTGTATATATGAGTCATATAGTGTCAGATATGGTATCTTTAATATAAGATGCAATTATAAATGGAAGTTCCCAAGCATATAAAAAAGGTAGCTAAATTGCTTTTAAAACATTGGCAATGCGACAACAATAACAAAGGCAGGAATATTACAGGTATTTCACTTCATTTAATTGCCTTAAAATCTTTAAATTGTTAAAAAAGTCAATTTAAATAGTTTGTTTTCAAAAATTATATTCTCAATCATACACTTAAAAAAAATGGATTATCAAAGGAAAAAATGCCTCTAAAAACAAAACAATAACAAAGCAAAAACAGGACAGTATGTCACTCATTCAAGCTGCTTAAATCTGTAAAAATTAAAGGTAAACTTAAACAGGGCAAGAGTGAGTACTCCTCCACTTTGTTTAGGTACAGTCAGTTAGTAATCCAATGGTGTTAAGGAGGGTTTAGGGTTAACCACACACACACACACACACACACACACACACACACACACACACACACACAGCCTGTGGAAGCAGCAACAAGAAGCAGCAGTAGAAGGGAAGAAAGAGACCCCAGCCCCTCTGGCGTTTTCGGGTTTTCCGGCCACTTCTCTTTTCTTCTGGTGGTTTTTGTGATTTTTGCGTGTTTGCCGGTTCTGAGGTGTTCGATAGCCGAACGGCGGAAAGAAGGACTACAAAAAAAAAATGGGACTACAAACCAAAAAAAAACGGGGGAATGTTGGCGCCTCTTTTTTCTCCCTTTTTTTCGCCACACGCGGATTATGTAAAGAAAGAGACAGAAGCGACGCAGTGAGACGCTTCATCGGTGTAAGGAGGGTCGTTATCGGTACAGGTTTAACGCCAGCTGTTCTTGCTTTTTTTTAATGGTTTTTTTTTCCCACCTCCATTGGTCCGCGCCCGGTTTACGTTCCTGTGCCACAGAGGAGAGGCAGTGGCTTGAGTTAAAGGAGACAGAAAATACTGATAGAAATTCAGATTAGAAAAAAAAAAAAAAAAACATACTGA